CACAGTCTAATAAGGAAGATAACATGAATAGAACTATGTACAAACAGGTTTTATACAAGATTAATTGGAAATAATCAGAACAAGGAAATCAATGCATTAAAGGGGATGAGAAAAGGCGAAAAGATGTGAAAGTGGGATTTTTTAGCTGGGCTTTGGAGGAAGCTAGGGAAGCCAGGAAGCAGAGATTAGATGGAAGAGTATTTCACGTATAGAAAATAGACACTGAAAATGCCCAGAGCCTAAAGATGTAGTATCTTGTTTGAGAAACAGAAGGAGGCCAGTGTTACTAGATCATAAAGAATGGTGAGGGAGGTGTAAGGCATAAGAAAACTGGAAAGGTTGGAGGGGGACAGATCATGAAGGGCTTTGAATGCAGAGGATTTTACATGGCCCTAGCGGTGATAGGGAGCCAGTGGAGTTTATTGAATGGGGTGGTGGCATGGCCAGATACATGTTTTAGGAAGATTCGTTTGATAGGTGGAGGATGAATTGGAGTAAGAAGAGACTTGAGACAAGGAGATCAACCAGAAGACTTCTGTAAAAGTTCAGGCGTGAGGTGACAAGGACTTGTACTAGAGACAGTGCTGTAAATGTTGGGGAGGGGGAAATATATAAATATATATGTGTGAATACATATATACATATACATACATATAGACACATGCATGCATATACATGCATACATACACATACATACATATATATACACATAAATACATATTTAGTTGATTTTCAGTTGTTTTCCAACTCATCGTAACCGCATTAGGGGTTTTCTTGGTGAAGATACTGGAGTGTTTTGCCATTTCCCTCTCCAGTTCATTTTACAGAGGAGGAAACAGGCAAACCCAGTTAAGTAACTTGCCCAGGGTCACACAGCTAGCTGTCTGAAGCTGGATTTAAACTCAGGAAGAGGACCTGACTCCAGGCCTGGTGCTCTGTTTACTATTCCACCTAGCTGCCCCATATGTGTATGTGTGTGTGTGTGTGTGTGTGTGTGTGTGTGTGTACATTTAAAACAGACTGCATATGGGGGTTGAGTGTGAGTGAAGAGTAGTGGATGACAACTAGTTTTTGAGCCTAGGCATAGTTTGGAAGAAGAGGGAACAATATTGTATGTTGCTTACCCTCTGTCAAGTTCAGTTTCTTCTCTGGTAAAACATGGATAATAATACCATGTACTTCACAAGATTGTGAAGATCAAGATATAAGATAATATAAGTAAAAGCATTAGGTACCGCAGCTTAGTGGGCAGAGTGTTGGATTTGAGTCAGGAAAACCTGAACTTAATGAGTAGATGAGGAGCAGTTGAACATTTGAGGAAGTAAGGGAATAATTGAGGTTGTAATTTTTTTGGGAGAAGATGGGAGAGAATGGTCAAGCATACATGTAGAGGAATTGACAAGGAGAAGGGCTAACTCTTTGCATTATTGGTGTTTAAGCAAGATTTGTTTAATGTTCATTTGTAAATATCATGTGGAGGGCAATGGAGAGGCATATGGTGAGTACAAGGGTACTATATCATTTTAATTAGTAAAATACTTCAAAGGGAAATCAGAGTAAAAGATGTCACCAGGGAAATGTATGATAGAAAAAAAAAATATGGTCTAATTTTGTGCCAAGAGTAGGGGGATGGTTGCTATCTTCGTTGTTGGAGGTATCAATGAAATCAATGATTCAACAGATTTATTCTAGTATTTATAAACGTCTATTTATACTATTAGGCTTTAAAAGCCTATTATAGCATAGTTAGCCACTCATACTTATTTTTAAAGGGATTCATGGTATATATTGGAAATGAAACTAAAATATAACTGAATATTAAGCTTACCATAGTCCAGTCTAAATTAGGAGGAAAAAAATAGGTTTCATGATTTGAAATCATTTCCAAGATGTCTTTGTCACCTCTTCCTCTCCTTCTTCCCTTCCCCTCCCCCTTCTTCTCTCCTCTTCTATAATTTTAACATTTGGGGGGGGGGTTGGTGTTTTGATTGTCTTTTGTTTTGTTTTGCTCATAGCACCCTTGGGATTACTGCTTTTGACAGTTGAGCCTTTTGAGACTGTTAGCCCTACCTCATGTTTTCTTTTCCTTTTAAAGGTCCTCTCAAGCCAAGTGTTGACAGTGACCTTTGAAAGTGTTTTCACAGCTTAGCTGAGACTTCCTGACATGTTTTATTAGCTCTTTGTAGTACCTAATAAAGTGAGTCTTAGTAAAGTTGTATAACATGACAGGTTAAAGGAGCTTCCAAAATAATCATCACTAGAGTAAGACCTAACAATAGAATGTTTGCTTGCCTCTCATTATCCAGCTAAACAGGACGTAATTGATTATTTTTTTTTTAAAAAATTGGTTTGTTACTTTAGGAAAATAAAATAATTAACTGATTTTGAGAGAACCTCAGATGGAGAGACCCAAACTCCAGTGATTTCTAGCTTGATTCTATAGAAATATGTCAGTTTTTACATTTACAGATTGTCAAATTTAGTTGCTACTAATAAGTTTCAATTAAATGTGATATTGTGTCTGGAACTTCCCAGCCGTCTGTATGACTGTATGTCTATCAGTCTATCTCCCTTTAAAACTGTATTTGTTAAACTGGACCTATTTTCCTTTAATTTTCTTTTTGTGGCCTCTTTTAGAGAGAGACACAACTTTAGTGTATTGTCTACAATGGTGTCAAACATGTGGCCTTATGGCCCACCACACTCCCAAGTACACAGTGAACTAGATCTAAATGTAATTGGGAAGTAATTAACAAAATAAATAAAAATACAGTAAAACATAGATGATACTAATATGCAGTTTTCTAAAGTCAATATGTAGCCTATAGGGATTCTTATAAGGTTTAGTGGTTCCTGTTTCTATTTTAGTTTGACACCATTGATCTGGAGAGCTGGCCTCTTAAGTAGGAAAACTTGGGTTTAAATTCTGCCCCTGACACATGTGGGCTGTGTGCCATTGGGCAAGTTGCTTAACATCTCAGTGCTTTAGGAAACTCTTTTTTTTGGGGGGGGGTAGGCAGTGGGGTTAAGTGACTTGCCCAGGGTCACACAACTAGTTAGTGTTAGGTGTCTGAGGCCGTATTTGAATTCAGGTCCTCCTGAATCCAGGGCCGGTGCTCCATCTCTTTAAGAATATAAGTTGCCATGGTCACTGGCATTAGGTGAGGGAGTTTTTTCATTCAAGAGTTCTCAAGAATGATACAACTACAAGTCCCTAAAGGAAAGGAAAAATATATCTGTATTCTTCTTGTGATGTAATATATCTTTCACAGTGTTATTCTCCCTTCTCCTCCCATGTGTTCTACACCCCCCCCAACACAAATACAAATCACCAGGCATGAATTGCCTGAGAAAATGTTTTATAAGAGAATATAAATAACAGAAAACAAATATTTCTTGAATTAAGGAATGAATGAACATAGAAATATTAAAATTTCTTTCTCATAACTCCATCTTTGCTTTAGCAGTTATATTTTAAATCTAATTTTATTGATGTCTTTTGATTCTATATTGTTTCTGACTGTATTCTTCCCCCTCTCATCACCTGTGAGCCATCCCTTGTAACAAAGATTTTAAAAAGAAGGAAAAAATAACTAGCCAACAAATTAACCTTGTCTGACTGTATATGCAGTATTTCACATCCATAGCTCCCTCTTTGTCTCTGGCACCTCATTCCCCCCATTCATGTAGCCACCACCCTAATTTAGGCCCTCATTAATTGATGAACTATTTCAGTCTCCTGTTGATTGGTCTGTCTGCCTCAAGTCTCTCTCCCACTTCAATCTACCATCAATATAGCTGCCAAAGTAATTTTCCTTAAGAACAGGTCTGACTATGTCACTTCCCTATTCAGGAAACTCCAGTAACTTATTATCTATAGGATCAGATATAGATCAAACTCTCCTTGGCATTTAAAGCCCTTTACAATCTTCCATGATCTTATCTTTACAGCCTTAATACATTTTATTCACCTTCACGTAAAGCACAATCCAAGCAGGTAGTCTTACCATTCCTCACAAAAAAAAAAAACCAAAACAGCACTTCATTTTCTGTCTCCATGATTTTGCACTGTCTCTCCCCCATGCCTACATTGCATTCCCACTTCACCTCCTTTTCTTGGGCTCCTGATTTCCTTGAAGTTCCAGCTTAAATGCTGCCTTCTACAAGAAGCCTTTTTGGTCTCCTCTTATCCCTCAATGTTTCCACAATTCCAATTACTATTATGTATTCGCTTATATACCAGCACATATTCCCTCTTTGCTAGATTCTAAGCTCCTTGAGGGCAGGGGCAGTTTGATTTTTGTCTTTGTATCCTGAGCATATAGCATAATGCCTAACATATACTATATGCTTAATAAATATTGTTGATTGAGATGTTTACAGTCAGGCAGACCTGAATTTGAATATAGCTTTAGACGCTTAGTAGCTGCTGTGTAAGCCTGGACAAAGTATTTAAGCTGCTTGCCTCAGTTTCCTCACTGTAAAATGGAGGCAATAACAGCACCTACCCTGCAGGTTTGTTGTGAGGATCAAATGAGATAATATTTGTAAAGCACATGGCACAGTGCTTGGCATGTATAGTAGGGATGATAAAAGTGCTTATCCCTTCCCTTCCTTCCTCCTCTCTCTTTCCCCCACTCCCACCCAAGATTAAACATTACACAGCAGTTAGTGCAGCAGCATGTATTTTGTTGCTGTTCTTTCTACTTATATTGTAGTCATTAGCAACTATTCCTTAAGCCTGCATGGCATCCTGTTGGGTTGCTATTTTAGTGATGGCTGTGTCATAAATTAAATGTCACAAGAGAAGGTCCGCATATGATGCAATTCTACTGAGAGTTCTCTTTATTGCCCAGCTTTACTGAAGGATCCTATTCAGTGAAGATGGATAGTCTACTTAAAGCTCTTTTTAATGAAAAAAAAACCTTTAATAATTAACTTTGGGGAAAATTTATGACAATTCACCACAAAGATCATTTCTGCTGCCAGTATTCAGACTAGGAATCATGTGGCAAATGGCTGCTAAGGTGAGAGGTAAGAAGCATTGCCTGAACAGAATATACTCTATACTTTCTGTGTGGAGTTAGCAGCTTTTGATTTTTTTTTTGGAGGGGGGAGTACTTTTTTTTTTTCTATTAACACTCTATTTATTTTCTCTATATCCTACCTCCCATTCCCCTTGACATTTATTTTCTTTTAAAGAAATACTTTTTAATAAATAAGCAGGAATAAGCAAAAGGAATTCCCATATTGGTCATATTCAAAAATGTCAGAATGAGATACATTTTTGAGCTTTAGTAGCTTTTTAGAAAAAAAAATCTCTTCTTCTTCTTGGCATTCAAAGCTCTTAATAATGTAACCCCCTCTTACCTTTCCATTCTTCTTACACCTTCCCCTCTTTGATCCAGTGACACTGACCTCCTGCTTGTTAAGTGAGCAAGACACTTCATCTCTTGGCCATTCTTGGCATGCTTTCCCTCCTCTGCTCCAACTGTTGACCTTAGCTTTCACTAAATCCTACCTCCTGCAGGTAGTGTTTCCCAACCCCTCTTAATTCCAATGCCTTTCCTCTTTTAATTATTTCCTGTTTATCCTGTATATCACTCGCTTTGTAGATATTTGTTTGCATGTTGTCTCCCCCATTAGAGTGTAAGCTTCTTGAGGGCAGAGCCTGTCTTTTGCCTCCTTTTGTATCCCTAGCACTTAGCACAGGGACTGCACATAGTCGGCACTTGATAAATGTCTATTGATTGAATTGTTGGTTAGGAAGCATGTGAAATTAAAAGTTTTGAACAGTAGTCTAGTCAGTGATAGAGTATGAGAAATTGTCTGAGGCATTGTGGGAACATGTCAAATAAGCTTTTAAAAGGAATACTGTAGTCTGTATTGGCAGAGGGAGCACTTGTAACCATGCCTTTCAAAGTATCAAAACATTTCCAAAGTTATTAATTTTCATGGACTTGCATCTTGGTTTTTTTAGTTTGTTTTGGGAGGATTTTTGGTCTCTGTAAGAAATTTTTGCTACTGTTTACTTGCATACACTCAATACTTTCTGTGTGAAGTTAGCAGTTTTTTAATTTTGTTTTTGAAGAGGTATAATATTTTTTTCTATTAACACTATTTTCCCTATATTCCACCTTCCACTCCCCTTCACATGTGTGTATGTATGCATGTGTATGTGTATGTATGTATTTATAAATGATAAAGAAAGCTCTCAACACTTGTCTTTACTAGTCTCAGGCTAAGCAAAGGTTGCAGGAAACTTGAAATTATTGATTTATCAGTAAGAATTTATTAAGTGTTTACTCTGTCAGATGCTGAGATAGGCACTGAGGAAACCATGACAAAATAAAACAATCTTTGCTCTTACATTCAAGGGGGAGAGAGGGGTTGACGACATATACATCTACTTGTGTGTAAGTATGATGCATACAAAGATGGGGAAGGGAGGAAGGGAGAGTTGCTAGCCTCTTGAGAAGACGGAGAAAGAAGTTAAAATGAATTGAGCAAGATGAGCCCTCCTCCCCTTTCCAGATAGATCATGGGAGAGAAATGAATTGTGCAGACTGCAGAATTACATTAATACAAGGGACATGGCATTACATATCATGCGAGAAGTGTAAGCAGAAACTTTTATTGTGACATTGACTCTTTTTAAAAATTTTTATTAATTTATTTTAATTTATCAACAATCACTTCCATAAGCTTTTGAGTTTAAAAATTTTCTCCCTCCCTCTCCCCTCCTTCCTTCCCCCCTCCTTCCTTCCCCAAGAAAGCGTGCAATCTGATACAGGCTTTACATATACATTCCTATTAAACATATTTTCGCATTAGTCATGTTGCAAGGAAGAATTAGAACTGATAGGAGGGACCACAAGAAAGAGGAAACAAAACAAACAGAAGAAAAAAATGGCAAATAGTATGCTTCAATCTGCATTCACCCACCATAGTTCTTTCTCTGGATGTGGATAGCATTTTCCATCGTGAGACTTTTGGAGATGTCTTAGATCCTTGCATTGCTAAGAAGGGCTTAAGTCTAGACATTAACTCTTATGCAAAATATTCTGGACATATTATTCTCATAGATGTTTTAAAATGTGATTCTTACTGACATTTATCCTTAAGTGTAACTAATCTGAATAAGTATCAGTTTTAGAATGCAGTATCTTAGTATCATAGAAAGGTTGGCTGACTTATAGTCAGAAGATATGAGTCCAGACTGACACTGTACCAGTTATGTAAGATTTGGGTGCATCTTAGTGTTCTTGTCTATAAAAGGAGACAACAGTGTGGTTTAAGATAAAATAGTGGGCATGGAATCAGGAAGGTACAGATTCATATCCCACATCTTGACACTTACTGTGTGACCAAGGCATGCTTCTGAACCTTAATTTCCTCATCTGTAAAATGGTGGAATAATCCCCATGTTACTTCCCTCACCAGGTTGTGACATTTGAATGAGGTAAAACAGGGTGTCTCAAAGGTCTTAGAAGTCTTAGTATACTTTTAAACTACTAAAGATAAAAGGTGAACTAAAACTTGTGGGACACCCTGTATAAAGTACTTTGCAAGCTTTATAACTCTGTACGAATGTCAGTTATTATTAGTATTGTTTTTAAAAGGACATTGATCCTAATTAATTCTTTAAGGTAATCCTTGCAGCAGGACCTACTCCCTAGGGTTGTTATGAGGCTCAAATAATATTAACCTCCAGTTATATAGTTTTTTAAGTTCTGCAAAGCACTTTACATGTTAGCTTATTTGATCTTCAAAGCAATAAACAACTCCAGAGGTCAGGTACTTTTATTATCCCCATTTTACAGATAGGAAAACTGAGGCTGAGTAGTTATATGAGTAATAAAGCCTGGTCAGTGACTAAGGTAGGATTCAAACCCAGAACTCTAGCAGCTATGCCACCTAAGGTATCAAAAGTGTCTTATAGTAGCTAAGCAGTACTTAAATGTCATTACAAAAAAGTAATGACAGCTACTGGATCACTGAATAGTAAAAATTGAACTCGGCTCTGTTTGCAATAGATTCTAGTATACAAATTTGTAGTCGACTTGCAAAAGTGGCAGAGTTGGAGGAATCTGTTTACAAAAAGGAACTTGTGAATATCCCATATTAAAGTCTGGGGAGGGAGAAGCTCTTCATGTTGTCTTTAAGATAACTGGAACGTGCTGTGGGTAAAGCAGTTCTTTCTAAAATATTTTTAGTTTCATTTTTATAAGCACCAGAAATAAAATGATGGCTTAGTTAATTGAAGTAGAGTTTGGGAGAAGAGGCTTAGGGTTTGAGGGCGTTTTTCTTGCTTTGTTTTTTTGAATTGCGCATCTCAGACACTTTCCTTAAAACAAATTCCTCGAGTGTAAGAGAAAAACAACAGCATGATAAATTGTAAACATGCCTCATAGCATATTTTCACACTACTATTCCAGATGTTCAAAGGTCATAGGGTTGAAAACTCCAAAGATATTTTTAAGGGAAAGAAGCCAAGAAATTTCTTGATTTCTTATGTCTTAATAATAGTAGTAGCAATTTATATAGTACTTTCAAATTTGCAAACCATTCTACATGTTATCTCATTGATTTGCACAACAGTCGTGAGGTAGGTGCTATGATTATCCCCATATTTTTGTAGATGAGGAAACTGAGGCTGAGAGAGGTTGACATGCCCAGGGTCACACAGCTAGTAAAGGTCTAAAGTAGAATTTGAACTCCAGTCTTCCTTACTCTAAAGTCAATGCTCTATCCTTCTAGCTGCCTCTAGGCAATCTTTCCTTATAATGGTTGGTAAGAGGAGGTGTCCAAAATCTGAAGGTGTCTCCAGGGCCTATTCTAGTAGCTGCTATAAAACATGGAATGCAACGAGTACTTACATGCTTGTGGCACTAAGTGACTGTAGGTGTCCTCAAGCCCTGGCTACATCTTCTCTCTCCAAAATGTTCACAGCAAGCAATTAACTGTAAGTACTTTTGGCTTGCCAAAATCTATTTAATGAAATCAGTAATGGCAGCTGCCTTTGTGTGGTTCATAAAAGGAATACTTCTTGTCTAGTCTTTTAGAGAACACTTTCTTTCTTAAAAAAATCTCCAAGGGCTTTACAAACATTAATTAATTAAGTCTCTCAATACTTCGCTCTGTCAGGAAATATGACCACCTTGGATCACAGATAAGGAGAACCACGGAGACTAGAGATGTCAGCATCCTTTACGATCGCCATCCTACCCTCGCAGCCTTATCTCACATTAGTCCTTTCCACACTTTTACATTGCAGTTGAACCTGACTAGTTTCTTCCTCCAAATATAACCTGCAACCTTCCATTTCCATGCTTTTACTCATGCTCTTCTGTATGCATGGAATGCTCTCCCTCCGCCTCTTAACCATCCTATGAAACTCAAATCATATGCCACCTACTCCACTTAGCCGTTTGATTTCTCTTCATTTGAAATGACTTTCCCTCCTTAGTCCTCACATAGCTCTTTGTTCTCCGAGTCTCTGGTGCACTTACCATGCAGTATTATGCCTTATAATTTGCTATGTTTGGATCTTAACCTCCTGCTAAACTGAAACGATGAGGTTGATGCACATTGCCAGAGCTAGCTCAGAGGAAAGTGTGGGAGAGAAGCTGCCTACCAAATTGAACGTGTACAGTCATTGTGCTGACTTATGCCTTTGAAAGCTGGACAGCCTACTGCACCATGCCAGAAAATTGAACTGCTTATGTTTTTATTATCTTAGAAGGATTCTGAAGATATCCTGGCAAGATAAGGTACTGGACACTGATGTCCTCTCTCAAGCTAGGCATTCAAAGTCTACTGCAGAGAGTGCAACTCAAATGGGCTTGCCACATAGCTTTAGTGCCAAACACATACTTACCTAACAGACTGTTTTACAGAGAACTCAACATAAGACAAGCTGTGACATGGGAGTCATAAGAAGTGGTACAAGGACACCTTCTAGGTCTCTCTGAAGAGTTAGTATCAATTGTGAGACATGGGAGATAACTAGCACAAGACCACCCAAAATGGTG